ATCATCAGAAGTAAACGCATCAATTTGCAATACGCTCGTCAATATCCCATCACTTCCCATTGCAAGATCACAAACGTTCTGGCGGTACTGATTCATTACAGTCTGTCACATCCGTCACTCCTCCTTTGACCACCCAACCAAACTGCAGATTGCAATGTCAAAAACTTTTACATCAAGCGATGACAGGCCTTACTAACACGGCCACACGCACAGCTCGATAAGCTGACGCGCCATGTGCCCCGTGCTGGCGAGCTGTGCGAGCTGCCGGGGCGCGGCCGTCCGGCCAGCGGTCCGTCTCCGGCAGCTGACGCTCACCTGGCCGGTGTGACCTGGACCGTCCGGCCCGCGGTCCGTCTCCGGCAGCCGCCGCTCACCTGGCCGGTGTGGCCTGGACCGGCCGGCCCGCGGTCCGTCTCCGGCAGCCGACGCTCACCTGGCCGGTGTGGCCTGGACCGGCCGGCCCGCGGTCCGTCTCCGGCAGCCGCCGCTCACCTGGCCGGTGTGGCCTGGACCGTCCGGCCCGCGGTCCGTCTCCGGCAGCCGACACTCACCTGGCCGGTGTGACCCGTCTCCGTCTGATGCATGGCCAGCTCGGCCGTCTGCTTGAACCGGCTGGAGCAGGGCAGGCACTCGTACCGCACGCCGCGGTGCAGCCCCCTGTCCGGCAGACAGCGGTCAGACACCGGACACGCGTAACACACGCTCTTTTGTCCGGCAGACGGCGGCCAGATGCCGGACCCGCGTGACACGCCTTGCTGTCCGTCAGACAGCGGTCAGACGCCGAACACGTGTGACACACGCTCTGCTGTCCGGCAGACAGCGGTCAGACGCCGGACACGGATAACACACGCCCTGCTGTCCGGCAGACAGCGGTCAGACACCGGACACGCGTGACACAAGCCCTGCTGTCCGGCAGACAGCGGTCATACACCAGACACGCGTGACACATGCCCTGTTGTTCGGCAGACCGCCAAATATAGCCCAACTCCGCCATGACCCAAGTGGTGGACTATTGCGGTGCACGTGAGTACACTCACGCCGTGCAGGGATGACAATCTGCATCCATGCATTGCTAGGAACACAGCACATATGGCACAGGCGCGTTCATCTAGGGCCACACACATCATTTATGAAGCACCACCGCTGGATCTATCCATGCGCCGACATGGCCAGACGCCCACCCATGTGGCCGGTTCCAGTGCCCGCACCGGAGCGAAGCAACCCAGGTCACGACCCCAGGCCGGGTCACGGCTCAGGTCAGGCTGCCAGACGTCCCACGCACCTGTGAAACTGCAGGCGGCCCTCGTGGTAGAAGCGTTTACCACACACCTCGCACTGGAAGCGCAGCAGGCGCCGTCGGCCGCGCTGCGTTCTCGCCGGGGGAGGCTGCTCGTCTGCGGTCAGCGGGCTGCCGAGGGTCAGGGCGAGGGGGCACCGCTGCTGGGCTATCGGCGCCACGGGCCACTGAAGCGCCGCACAGACAGGGACACTGTCCTCCGGATTGCAACGATAGGATGCGATGCGAATTTTTGAAAGGTGCGCAGGCCTCTCGGAGATGCATTACAGACTAAAACATATAAGGCAGGTGGCGAAAGCGCCTCCAAGAAACATATTTCACAACTGCTGTTGACGGCTAATGACAGCTTGGTGACCGCTGATGCCAGATAGGCGTTGTCCCGTATATGCGATATTTGCTCGCGCCAATTTCAGCACTGACTCAACAGCATCATGAACATGACGCGGTGCATTTGTACGAAGTGTGTTTCCCATGTGTGACTGAGCTCAAATATGAGCAAATGAAGTCCGGGAGACAGCTTCTTTACCTGAAGTCACTGCCCCCTCACCTGACGGCCCCTGCTGCGGTGCGGTGGTGCTGCCACCTGCGCGCGGCTCCGCCCCGTCCTGGGGACAGCCGCCTTCGTCGGCGCCGGCGGGCAGTGGGCGGCCGGCCGGCGGCGGTAGCGACAGCACCGCCACCTGGATGTGGCATGGAGCTGGCGGCGTCGCACGGGGGCGGGGGTGGCGTGACACACGGGCGGAGTGAGGGGTGCGACGCTCCGCAGGACTGCGGGTGTTACCGACACGCCCGGGACCGCAAGAGTTGTTGGCATACCAAGAGGGGGAGGAGTTCGTAACGCAGCGCGACGTGATAGTCGTCCTCGGCACACCGAGAAACGAGCTGTTAACGAGCTGAGACACGACACAGGCATCACAGACCGCGATGAGCTTGCAACATGCTGCGGGAACACGGTGGAAGCGTGAAAAACGCCTGAAGGTGAGGCTGGGGAGGAAGGTGACGGCATGTGCGTTTGATGGGGCTACCAACTCGGCAATTGCAGGCACTAACATCAAACCAAAACAGCCGATTCATGTACCAACGATTCAAGGGGACAGCACATGGCCACATAACACATCCGTACGTCATCTGTAAAAACAGCTCAATTGTGAAGAAACGGGCTAATCTAAATGACAAGCTCCGCCCAGACTGACCAGACGGCGGCGTAAAATACCGAACCCGGACCGGTAACTTCCTACACCCCGGATTATCGGGTCGCCGCAGAGGCATAAGCCCCCCCCCCCCCCGCCGTCCCGACGAGGCTATCTGTGAACCACCTGGGTAGCGCATTCGTTCGGTGCGCGTGCAAACATGGATGGGAGATCTTTCGCGCAAACCTGACTTCGGCAGGCTTTTCGTCGACCGACTACTACCCGGAAAATGGGGTAGGAGCTTTAGAGGCAGCAGCTGGGGGGTTACTCCCTGCTGTGGGATTACGCTGTGCTGATCGGCGCTCGCGGTGTTGGATTCACGAGATGGCCTGCCTCTAAATGGACCCTCCCATCTGGTAACCCACCCCGAGGGTACGGCCTCACTCCAGGACACTGGAGTCAGTCTTCTGACCACCGGCCCCGAGGAACTGGGACGGGCCCGCGTCCCAATTTCCGAAATTCCAAATAGCCCAGAGCTATTACGCGCCACGACGGGCATCCCGACAGCTAGCGCGTTGTCGAGACTATCCCACAAGGGTGCCGAAAGTACGAAACCTCTGCCGCGTATAGTGTACGGTGTGCAAATGCGTCTATACCAGTAACCCGAAAATGTCCCGGGACAGGCCCCCAAAATATCAAGAATACAAGGCCTTCCGTCGGCTCCATGTCCCCACAGTGCGGCGGCCTGCCCATCCTTCACCTACGGTGCCCGGTGCACCGCTCGGCCGAGCCGGTCGCCGCCTCACCATTGTCCTCGCCGTCCGCCGGCCGGTCGGCGTCGCTGCCCTCCTCCTCGGCCGGCGCCTCCTCGCGCAACACGCGGCCCAGCTCCCGGCTGACCACGCTGTTGCGGAAGCGGGCCGGAAGGCGGCCGCGCGAGCGCCGAGAGCGCAGCAGCGGCGCCGGCGGCGCGGCCTCCGCCGCCGGCTTCGGCTCTGGCGGCGGAGACGCGCATCACAGCGGAAGTCACTCGAGTACCTCGTTGGACACATAGGTGTGCAAAATGCGTTTTTTGAAATCACTGCACCCGGACAACTCAATCCGACTACACCAGCGCAAGAGGTGGACTACCGCCGGCCGGCGACGCACCCTTTGGCTTCTGCTCGGCCTTCCTGGGCCGTCCGGGCCGTCTTTTCTGCAGCACCACGCCGTCCTCGGTTAGCTGTCGCTGCAGCTCGTTACCGGCCGGGTACAGCTGGCCTGTGTCGGCAGCGCCTGGAGACCGCCGGCCACGTGCAGTCAGAGGCCAGCAGGGGAAGCTGACAGAGTACGGGCCGCCGTGAGCAACATCCGCCAGATCGCGAATATTCGAGCTAACGTGATACACATCGTCACTGCTCGTGGCCGCACCTGGAGGCAGATCCTTTGCAAAGCAGTACAGGCCACAATATTCTCGGAACTTCGCAGTGATGAGCCAGCGACCAGCTGGTAGCGTCACGCCCCCTAGCGGCGGAGTCAGACCACCGACCTGCGTGCGGCCGGCGCAGCAGGACGCTGATGGTGCGCTGGCCGTCCAGCGTGCGGTCCAGGAACACCTGGGTGGCTGTGACGCTGAGGTAGCAGGAGCTGCACACGCGGCGCGGGTGTTGGCCATCGTCGCACACCTGGTGAACAGCAGAGTTAATTGTGGCACCCATCAGCTGCCCTCCACAACCATACCCCTAATGATGGGTGCAGACATTGGTGCTTTTGATTCCAGAAATGGATGGCATTGTTGCAAATGGCATGGAAGAATGGGATCTCACCTGTATGGGCAGGTAGCGGTTGATCTTGATGTAGAAAGGCTCTTCATCAGTGGTGTCAAATATCAGGACTGAGTTTTCACTCTCAAAGCCACAAAGGCGGCAGATGGTGCTGTCAGCCAGGCCTGTGCTCCCCATGGCTGCTTCTCACCTGTGGTAAGTGTTCACTGTCATCCTCATCCACCATGTCAGCAACCATGTAAGTATTTGTTAGAATGTTTGTGCAGTAGTGTAGTATAAATGCACAAAACTAACATGCATCCTGCACCAATACTTCATAAAAAATGCATTTTAAGAACTTTTAAGCTTGAGCTGCTAGTTTCTACAACATAGATGTATGGTGTAATGCATCTTTTTTACAGTCTGGCAATAGAAAGCATGTGGCTCCATCACCATTTGATATTTGGGGATCAATTGGTTCAGCAATTAGGAAAAGAAAATATAAAAATCGTAAACACATTGTCATAAATGCACTTTTGGAAACATAATTTTCTCAAAATAAACAAGAACATCGTCAAACAAAGATAATGGTGCATGCATGCTTTATTTCTCATGGCTCATAGCTAGCAATTGGTATACACACAAGCTCACCAAACGAATTATCAATTCACCTTGCGAAACTGAACCCCTTCTCAAATCCGCGAAATACTGCAACCAAGGGTGTGTTTAACTGAGGAACCAAGATATGGTAGCTTAATATTTTCCGCCTCATGACGTCATTGGATACGATTCTATGCGCTAGCCAAATGACGTGGTCCTGGTGCCCCAGCGTTTGTGCTGTGGTCTGGTCCTGGGCAGTGCGAGCCCCGGCTGGGCATGTCCCTGGAGATTTGCTGACGCTGTCTTCCCGTTGAAAAAAATAGGGCGAGACGTGGATCAGTGTTTCATCTTCATCGATTGGGGATGAATTGCAAATTGGGTGACCGGGCACAAGATCCATGGCGCTGATCAGCTCCAAGGCCTGCGTTCATTTCATTCGTCATGGTTTGGGCGGTTTCAACTCTGCGTTGTCTGCAGCGAAGGCTGAGGCATCTTGTTTGCATCAGAACGCTATCAAATGATCATCGGTGGGTAGGTTTTAAACTTGCATTGAGCTATGAGTGATCCATGCGTGGCTCTGTTTTGAAGTGCGCTGCTTACAAGCTAGGTTTCAGTTGCTATTAGCAAGTGCATTCTTTGATCAGTTGGCTACTATGCCATGCTGCTATGCTATGTTGTGCTTCAGACTGGCTTATCATCAGTCACCACAATGACTGGCTAATAATAATTGTCACAATACCATGATTGCCTGTAGCCAGCCTCCCACTGCTGGTTGGCAGGTACTGGGTAGTGCAGTTTTAGTTCAAGGTAAACATGAAAATTGTCCAGATTTTAGGTAGCCTGACATACAAACTACCAATTTTCTCAGTGATCTTGTAAGTGTTATTGGTGAAAAATGTATTTATCCACAGGCCAAACCTGAGGGGCCGTGACATCATAAATGGTGATTTGAGTTCTGATGAGCTCAAGACAGTATTATGGACTGCTACAGACATCAGGAACAGGGTTGGAGAGGAAAAAGAGGTATTTAAGCAAGGTAGATTTCCTATGTTTTGAGCATGTTGTCTTGCTCTCTCACTTTAGACAATGCAATTTTTAGTCTAGCTTTTCATGCCTCAAACAAGGTGCTGCTGTCAAGTAATGGATGATCATTACAATTTTTATTTTGCAGTTCCATTACCATGGCTTACTGTGATCTGAAAGGCTTAGAGGAGAAGAAATGTGCAGATACTTGGTAGAAATGGGTTCAGCAGGAAAAAGTATGTTTTTATCTTCAGATTGCACTTGGCTTAATATTTCCAGCTGCATTCACCTGCCATGGCCTTTGGGAGTCATGCTTGGCCTTTGAGAGTCAGGATTGCTGAACAAAAGTTTAGTTATGGCTGAAGCTTGTTTAACATTCCCTTTCAGGCACTCATCTACTTGAAGGGAAAGTCAGTGACTTTGCTCCAGGAACATGGAGAACCAGACACCTTAAGCTCAGTGGCTATAACAAGAGCCACCCACTGCCTGGGTGGAGATGTGTGCAAGATGGTTGTTAACTTTAGTGAAGTGGATGCCTCTGATATGGCTAGGTATGTGTTTGCCCAGTTTTGCTACCCTAGACTGCATTCACAATTCATAAGTTGTGGTTGGACAGTGATCAAATTATTAAATGTTAATGGGCAATGGAAATGAAACCATGGTGAACATGGTCCTTGGTGCATTATCCACAACATTTGTGAAAGGGGATCAGTTATGAAAATGTTCAACAATTGAAGAATGATGCTCATCCCACTTTGCTCACAATAAATGACATCAACAAAAACATTTTGCTCCTGTCACACACAGCATCCACGTCGATGGCCGTGCTAACCGACCTCGCGCGTGCCGGAGTTGCCCGCAGTTCGCTGTCGGCGATGAGTGACGTCATCGCTGTCAGCTGCCGCCACCAGACGTCTGTGCAGCGCGTGGCAGATGGCGCCACCGTCCCGGTGGTCTGTTTAAGAAGCCAGGGCCACGACCCGATCACCGTGTTTGCAGAGCTGCTTGCTATGCTGGACCACTATGGGTAGGCGACTCGAAATGTATTTGCCCTCCCAACTGAGAACTGATGAATGCTGATTTGCTCGGGAAAGTGTAGAGTCTTCCAGTGAGCTTAAATTTCACGCTATGGCGCGGCCAACACAACAGTAACTACCTCTTCGCGACGATAAATGCTAATAAATGCCACTGTTGCAGTGCATGGTGAAAGTGCTCCCGTGGCTAGAAAGGCCTCATTTATACCGCCCTACAGCCTAGTCATCGAGCCATTGCTGAGGACTTTTATGTTCAGCCTCATCAGCTAAATGTATTTGAAGCAAAGCAATGAGAGTGGGTGTCCTCCTTCGGCGCACCGCGGCTCCATGTGACGCCGTGCGGCGCGCGCTTTCCAGCCACCTGAAACGGCTGACGCTGTCCTGGGTGGGTCCGGCGCGTGCTCGTCTCTACACCTACCTGCAGATGATGCCCAGGCTCGGTATGCACCTGCGCTTCTGCTGTCCGGAGGTGGGTGGTGGCGGCAGGCGGTACGAGGCTTCCCCGTAGGCTCGCACGCAGCCGGGCCGACTCTCGTATCAGGGATGGACGGGTGGATTGCGGCCATGTGCAGCAATAGCGATGATGTGTATTTTCCCAGCGAGATTGTGCGGAACCGGCGGACTCCCAGATCAAGGGCCAAGTGTGTTGGTCGCAGCATGTCCAATGAGGAACGATACTGATCTCTCCGACGAGATTGTGTAGGAACCGGCTGACTGAGATCAGTGTTGAAGCCATCTTTTCAGCATGCAAGCGTTGCCTTGCTGAGGCGTGAGAACCGATATGTGGGGCTTTGGAGCACAATACAGACCAGCACTGAGCCCGTCGAACTGAGGCCGTGCTGATAGCCAGAGTGAGCTGTCCTGCCGCGGAACGCATCATTTGGCAGCCCGGCTCGGGTATTGTCTAGCTGATAGCTAGTTCGCTCAGGCTTTACCTTGCCCGGTCTTTAAGCAAAAAGAAAAAACGACAAAATAAATGAACGCTTATGGATCTGTTTTTACCGCGCACGCCGCCACACAGCCACCCTGCCCTCTTTGAGCTTCTGCTAACCGACCACTATATAAACTGTGAGCGGACGGCTCGCTTGTTACGTCTGGGACTCAGATCTAGTGCCGGTGACCTGCGTCCTCAGTTCTGCCCTCCACCTTGCGGATAAGCGCTCAACATTGTTAGGCGTGTTGCAGCCATAGCTTTGCGAACTGTGACCAGACGCTCCAGGAAAAGACCGCATATTACAAATATGCAAAACACGCATTGAAACTTTCAGTGCGGTTACAACCCCCATCGTAACTGTTAAAGTCAGCGTTGTTGTCCTGGCAGACGGAGGACGTCGGTGAGGCCGAGTTCGGTGAACTGGTGCGCCGCACGATCCGACTCAACACCCAGTTCAGCCGCTGCGCTACGGTCGACGAGGCCACGTACCGTGCGCACGTGCTGGCCACCACGGGCCACGGTCACGAACACCTGCGGATCGGCGAAAAGGTAGGGCATCAACGCTGCCGTCCCTGAGGCGCGGCACTGTCGGCTAGCACGGCCGATCACATCTCACCGCGTGTATGTGGGGGGGGGGGGGGGGGGACTCTCCATCTGATAAACGTTCGACCTCATTTAGGTTACCCTTCCACCGAAAAGACTTCCGATTTTTTTGTTCTTTTTGTTTGCGATCGCCTTTTTCCTTAAATTAAAACATCTCGGCATTTCGTCAGCGCTGGTTACGTCCGCTTCTTACCTCTAAAATGCAAACATTTTGTATTCAGGCACGGGTTATAGGGCCAACAAGTGATATGGAGATCGTTCAGAAATTGCACTACGCAGTTTTTGCCATTCTCCCCCCCCCCCCCCCTCCCTTTGTTATGCACTGGTTACGCCAGGCGCTCCCCTGGTGGCGCTGTGCTAAGCGCAACGTCCCATAACATAATCCGTTCGGCCCGTTGTGTTTACGTTTGCAACACAAACTCTGCATTATGATAAGTTATATTTGCCAAGTATTACGACAGTTTCCTGCAGTTGATTCCTGACACACATGACCCAAAAGAGCTCGAAGCCCAGTAACTAAACCCTTCAAGACTAACATAACAGGGCACACACACAGACACACAAAATTACAAATCACAAAAACAATATCTCCAGTGCATGCCAACAAAGTAGCTTTTGGCTGTCCGCCTCACTGGCTCATAAGCTCATAATGCAAACACCAACCTATGACAATGAACGGAACGTTCCTGCCGAAGTTGTGCGGGAGAATGTATTTTAGGCATGCTAGTTCCACTTCGGCTCTTGTTCAAGACGCCCGTCCGCTTAAACAAAGCAGAACAGCGGGAGTGATGCATGCATGATAAAACAATAACAAGTGATCCACACAAGCAAACGCTCTCCTTCCTCACCATTGTGCCGAACTGGGTCGTCCTCTCACAACCAGTTTAGTCACTACTGCGCCATTTTCCTGGCGACGGAGTGGAATACCGGTGAAGGTTGGGGTCGCGCGCTAAGTGTATTGGCGTCGCCCCGGTTCTGTGCGGCTGCAGAGGGGGGGGGGGGCTGACTGTCCCGCCTCGGGGAGCGCCGCCGAATGCTCCATGCGGATGGAAAGTGGCGAACCAGGCGGCTGGGCCGTCCGTGAGTTGTGGCAATCTCGAGGAGGCGCACTACACGGTACGCCGTGGGCTTCGGTCTCCAGCTGGGGTCACTGAAGACTTCGCTGGCGCGCACATGCTCATAGTTTCAATCGCAAAGAAGCTGAGGAGCTTCTGCTGCGCGTCGCTGATTGGGTTATTGTGCTCCTATGCGTCATGATACAGTAACAGGGACGTAGCTTCGCAAAATGAGTTCGGGTTGGAGCTTGGCTGTGAAAAATGCCTACGCTCAAAACAGCCAACAAACAGGGTTTTCCCCGGATTTGGCTCACTGCCCTCTCAAACTCTGTGTGTGGGGGAGGGGGGGGGGGGGAGGAGGAGGGGTGGACGCTTCTTAACGGCATAGGTAATTACACCGCTGTACAATAATGTTTCCGGGATATAACCGGGCCATTGGCGCGCGTGGGCGGTGCGTCATGAGGAGGGCAGTTCATAGCAGGGCTCGGACCGGCGGGCAGCTCCGCGCTCCTCTGACGCGTGCGGGCAGTGCGCCATGAGGGGAGCAGTTCATAGCAGGGCTCGGACCGGCGGGCAGCTCCGCGCTCCTCTGACGCGTGCGGGCAGCGCGTCATGAGGAGGGCAGTTCGTAGCAGGGCTCGGACCGGCGGGCAGCTCCGCGCTCCTCTGACGCGGGCGGGCAGTGCGTCATGAAGAGGGCAGTTCATAGCAGGGCTCGGGCCGGCGGGCAGCTCCGCGCTCCTCTGACGCGTGCGGGCAGTGCGTCATGAGGAGGGCAGTTCATAGCAGGGCTCGGACCGGCGGGCAGCTCCGCGCTGCTCTGACGCGCGTGGGCAGTGCGTTATGAGGAGGGCAGTTCACAGCGGGGCTCGGACCGGGGGCAGCTCCGCGCTCCTCGTGACCAAGGGCTTCGCAGGGTTCAGCTGGCACAGAGGGTTTGATATGCATGCATGCTGAGGCATACATGAATTTGGCACGGGGCATGGAGGTACATTTAACTGCAGTAAACTCCCAGTAAAATTTATGCAGTCGAGGCTCCGGACCACCTGCTGCTGCGGCACATGGTATTCACATGATAGCCAATGTAAATGAGGATGAAAACGAACGCCAGTTAATTCCATAGAATAGTGACTGACATAGTGAGGCGGCATGCTGTGGCGTAATGTCGGGAGCCTGTCCGTCCCAACCGCCGGTGAGGCGTCAGGCTGACGTGACGGCACCTGTACACCGTCCGCCTCGGGTCAGAATCCGCTTGCGGCGCCGAACACCGGCGAGAATGGTGTGTGTACTGCGCGGCCCGGGCACGTCACTCTCCAATCAATAGCGGCGCTGGCCGGTATGATGTAAGGCGGCGCGCTGTTGGCTCGTTGCTATGTAAATAGACAAGGGCTAGTCCATCAATCATACTCATCGACCGGGCACATGCTTCAAGGTCCTAGTTCGCTTGTGAATGTGGCGTGATGATCGCGTGCTTGTAAACTGGTTCCGTGGCTAAACAACAGATTTCTGCTTACAAAAAGAGAAAAAGGCATGAAGCTGAAAAGAAAATTGCTGAGTACGTTTGGTAATCCAGGCCATTGCCCTGCGTAATCTCAGGCGGTAGTCACAATGTGAGGCTATGTATCAGGATCAGAGCCCGTTATTTCGTGTTTAATCTGCTAGTTACTGGAGCTGCGGCTCTTAATTAGCCCTCACGCTCGACAGGAATCACGTATGTATGTTGGCGGAGGCATCAGTGCGCGGACTGCCTTCGTGCTGGCTGACGTCATCTCTGTCAGGAGTGCGGTGTCAGCTGCGGTGTATGGATTATGTTGCGCCTGAAGGGGAGAGGGGGGTTTTGATACCGAAGTCTGCTGTTTTCACGTGCGAAGGCCGGACGCCCTTAGCTTTCCCTCATGGCGGGCGACACGTCCGCTTTTGTTTCGCAACTAATTCCAGTTCTACTTGGAGCCAAACGAATATTTTATTTTGAACGTTACGCATGCTGCCGATGAAACCAGCAGGGAGAGGTTCTCGCCAGGCTTCAATGAAGTGTTCCACCTGTGTATGGGGGTTTTGAACTGAAATAGCCATCCTTAAGACCTTTCGGCGCTGTTCACAATCCTGCCCTTCTTGAGACGTAAGCTCCTAGTTTCTGAGCTACACGCCTGCGAAAATGGAGGTAGCATTTCGGGGAAAGTATTTCAAAGTCACCTGGGCATTCATGGCGTCATAATGACGTCATTTAAATCCTGTCATTCCATGAGACATGCGGCGATCAAGGCCAAGAAAGAAAAATGTTTGAGGCGTTCGTATGTGGCGCTCGTGAGCACGATTTCCAGACGTAACGGCCGCCAATTGGCTTTCAGTCAGTGTTGTGCAAGGTGCGATGACGCAATCAAACCATGACTCATTGATGAGCGTGGGTACTAAAGCCGTCTAGGGCACCTTTTCCACTTCAAAAGTATGCCAATAGTTGTAGGTGGGCTTGTCTCATATCTGATGCCTGCTTCACTATCTTTAAATGTGAAACATACCCCTTAACCAGTATGCATTCAGGGGACGCGGGCTGGGAATGGCCAAGAATGCACAACGTAATATGTTGACAGCGCCTTGTGACACGCAATTACGAAGCAAGTTCGAGACGAAACATATGGTTTCCTGAACCCACCACACTCAGCGAGATTCCAAAAGAAGTCTTTTTTAAGCTTACAAGAGGTGACATGCATGTCATGTAGGCCTTTTTGATAGCAGTATGCGTTAGATGACTATGTGAACACAAATCGAAATGTTTGCGATAAGCAATACGTATTATGTTTATAGAAATTACAAATCGCCAGCTTAATGTTATCTCTCACCCTCTCCACAAAGACGAGTAGTTTAAACGCACCAAGATAAACACAACGCCTGCTTCGCTTTGGCAACCAAATCCCCAATTTTTATCTATCATGCGACGAAACGACAACAAATTGGAATCTGCATTTTCTTGAGGAATCCTCTTTCCATTTCAAGTCATTTCGGGTGAAATTTTAGGTCCGTTTGATGGGTAACCAATGCCGTATTTTGTTGCAAGTGGCCCTTTTCTTGCACACCATTTTTCACAGCTAGTAGGCAGCTGGTAAGATCAGACAACGCGACATGACTACTAAAGCTGAGATGTTTGTGATACCTCGATAACAAGTCTCAAACGTGCGGGTAACGCGTATGATTCTGCCCAGGCGGGTAAGGGGTAGGACAGAGCTGCTGAGCCAACGCCAATTGTTTCGCTCGAAATCACCCCGGATGGGAATGATGGTTATACAAAAATGGTTCAAAGACGGACTGCGGCGATGGCGTACGCTGACGTATTTGTCAGTCGTCATCGTCATGCGCTGCCTTTTCGTAAGCACTCCAGGCCATTTGCAACCGTTTCGCTATGCCGCTGCGGGAATACCTCAAATGTGCGTCCTAGAATAAGTATACGTCATAATTACGTACCGGTCGAGGCGAAACGGTTAAACAGTAAAGTGGCGACGGTCCTCCATTGCGGTGGTTGCGTTGTGGGCCTTCCATATGATGATCACATGATAAAGTTGTCCTATGATGGCCGTGCGGGGAATTTTAGAGTTATGTCTGTATGATGAGCTCCTGGCGTGATGGCCGTGTGCCAGACCACCATGCAGTGTGCTCGCAACGGTCCTCCAGTGCCACAGAAGCTTTCCCCGCCCCGCCCTGCTGACCCCTCTCCCTCGCCGCCTGCAGCACGCGGCGGAGGCGCAGCTGGACTGGACGTTTGTGCAGGACCTGCCGCGCGGCTCGTCGGCCGCCGCCGACGCCGTGTTCGCCGCCAGCCGTCGCTCCCTGGTGACAGCCGCCGCCGCCGCCCAGCCGTGGCTGGCCGCCGCGATACTGGCCGAGCTGAGCGGCCAACACGAGCGGCGCGCGCCGCGACCCAACTTCGAGGGCGCCGGGTAGCGGCGGGGGGGGGGGGGAGGGGGGGGGGGCAGACCGCGGCAGGCTGGAGTGAGCGCGGACCTGTAGCCGTCTGGTGTAGGGTAGCGAGGACCGTAGGAAGGGTGCAACAGATGCTCAGGTGTTTTTTGGTGGTGTGTCAGGCAACTTGGATGTTTTGCAGTGTGCTAATCGTAATAGATGACGGTCGCCGATTTTGATGCATTTATTTCGGTTCAGGACGTCATTTGAGGTCTCGGAAACCGAAATCAAATTGTGTCCCTTGAGTCCGCCCTTAAGTAAAACGTTTGTCTTTCGCCAACCCACGTGATTTTGTTCGGGACAGTTCTGAATTCCCGTTCAAGCCCGTTGTGACGGCGCGTCAGCCGGTCTGCTGTTTCGCTGCTGCGTTGCGTTGTTGGCCCGTTTCAACCGTTCTATACATTGGCTGCTACACGTGGTCGTAGGACCACGCAATGTTGGACCCGGTTGTATGACTTGTGTAGGGATTTTGTAAGCGGGTGATCTTGCCTGGCATCGAGTACAATTGGGGAAGCAGAATACAGTTTTGCCTGGTATCGGGTACAGTTGGGGAGGCGGAGTACATTTTGCCTGGCATCGAGTACAATTGGGAAGCAGAATACAGTATACGTACCTGTGCCGATTGGCTGCCGTTTGGCACAGGCGCGTGCTCTTTGATGTCTCCCTATTTTCCAGCATTGCCAGCCACTTAGCGGGACTAAGTGTCGTCCATTGTTGTGACGATGCGTCGATATTTGCTGCCCCAATGACCCTGATACTGTATTCGCCATAGTCTAGGAAGTCCCGAATCGCGATCCAACTTATTGGAGTGAAAGTTCGTAGTGCACCCTTCCACCCGACGCAAAGGTGGCATTCATTCCTAGAAGGACACCTTACACACGGGAAGTTGGACAGCGTCTCTGGTGGCGGGTTCGTGGAGTCCATCATCACTGACTGAATGATTGTGTGCTGTCGCCACCGAACTTTCCGAGGCTCGCGCGTGCGGTGATGTCTGGAACCACATCATCATATTTGACTGCAAATTAGTAACATAATTAGCAACATTGATGGGGTTGTGTTTGTGCCTACACATAAGCCTTGGAATCCTAATGGAAAGTAAACATGTCGTCAACATTAAGGTTTGTTTAAGCTCGGCTTACGCCCGGCTCGCAATGGTGGGGCTGGAGCTCTAAGGACGCGGCTGTCTGGCGTGTAATTATTCATTACGTTCTTTGCCTTGTAGTTGCATTATTTTTCTGTATTTTATCTTATTTCCACAGGCATGCTGGGGGGGGGGGGGGCCGTCACCTGACTTGAAATGCACTTCATTCCGCTGGGTTGGAAGTGCTTTAAAATCCGAATAAAATGGAATGGAGCTGAAGCCGAACATGACAACGCGCCTGTCGCAAATTAGACTTCAACGACGTTTGTCTCGGGCACAATTATAATTACCAGAGGTGATTCCCAGGCCGACAAAAGCTTTTATTGTTAAAGAAGGGGCAGTCAGCAATATATATATATATATATATATATATATATATATATATATATATATACGTATATGGTGTGTGTGTGTGTGCACGCGCGTGTGTGCGCACGGGTCCGTGCGTGTGTGCATAAAGATACTCCAGTGGACTCATGAACTAATTGTTCGGATACCCCAGTGGGTATGGTGGCTTTCAGGGAATTGCAATTCACGGAGCATACAGAGGAATTATTACCGCGTGTGAGGGAACAGGACAAATCGGGCATACCGATATCAACCAAGAGGTGCCTTGGTGCATCAGCAACATGTTCCACTTAACTTATGATGTGGATCAGCCCAGCGTAAAAGCAATAATCACAGAAAAAGAATAACGTACGCGGCGGAATCCAAACCTGATTCCTCCCACAACAGAATCGATTCCGATTCGGCTCGATTCCGCTGAAGTCTGACACAAGTCTGCACTGGACAGGCCGGTCACGGCCGGGGCAGAGAGTGAACGAAGAGGTCCAGCTGAGGAAAGCACATGGTACGGCGCAGAGGTGTTCAACTGTGAGTACTTCTGGTGTGGAAATGTTGGCAATTTCCGTTCTGGAATGGTTGTTCCCCGTTTTCTAGCCAGGGAAATGTCTGTACCGAGGGGCTGTAAAACGTTACATGCCCGCATGTTTGACGTGATTTCCTGCTTTGTTTCGTCGCCGATGCAGCCTCCTAGTTCGACGACTGCCGGCTCGCGCCTTATACGCGGTCATAATTACGCATAAGATACACACAGACCCGTCCCGTGGTCTGCCTCGCGCTCTAACAGAGCCCCTGGCGGCCTTGCTCATCCCGTGGTCTGCCTCGCGCCCTTACAGAGTCCCTGGCAGCCGCGGTTATCCCGGGGCTTCAGCCTCTTCAGTGCGCTGTGTTACGCTCCATTTGGCGTTTCTAGGCCCTCGGGCATTGCGGGAACCCATTACAATCCCCAAGGGTTTTTGGAACGTATCAAGAGGCTAGCAGTGTCCGTGCCAGCTTGCCTTTCTTGGGATTCTCAGATCGTTTCTGCATCTTGAACGCTCTCGGGTCTCTGCTACGCGATGAACATTTTGATTGTTTCAGACGAGGTTATATTGCGCCCATGGCGCCTAAAAAGCCCGTTTTCGGTTGGCTCCCCTTCCGACTGCGCTGTTTCCGACTCTCGGCTTGCTTAAGGGCCGACACTAGTCTGGCCCGCTCGGCCGTCCCCAGACGGCACGTGCAGCCCCGCGCGTGTGGTTCGGCATAGCGTGAGGTCCGTTTCCGCCATGTCAGTGGGCTGCCACCTCGCAGGAGGTGCTTGCCTGACTGCGCTGCTCCGCGGACGTCAGTTTTAGGGCTAGACGTTTGCATTGATATTAACATTTTGAGCTGCTGATGCGGAAGGCACATGCCTTTGATGTCAGAGAGTGACGTCATTTGCATAGTGGTCGCAATTTCCTCGTTGCGGGCCGCCGTTCCTTTGTCTGATGCCCTGTATTTCTGTGGGGAGATACACCACTTTACACTATGTGCACGGCACCTGCAGTGCAATTGTTGGGCAATGAAAGAAATCGATTCGAGAGTGTCAAGTGAGACTGAGTAAATACGTTACCATTTTTAAGCCGTTTCTTTTCATGCATCGCCATAAGCTTAATGTTTAACTTGCGCGAAAAGTACGGGTCCATGCTCTATCGACCCCCTGTTCCTACGCCACAGATTGGTCGCACAACATGCTTCGCGTGCGTAGGTCCCTCCAGCCGTACACTTTTGTTCTTTTGGCTTATTTTCAAACACGCAAGTAGATAATCGAGTAGATACGATACGCCCGAGCCCCGAGGGATCGATAGATAAGTACGATCGAGCAAATGGAGGTCGCTTGCACATGCCCTTGGTGAAAACCTGCACACCACGCACCGCTATTTTTGCTCAGAATTCATTGTACTCCGTGCTTCGAGGTTGAATCATAGAGCTTATTTAGTCATCGCCTCAACGTGCGGTGATCCCTTGTTGCCAATGTGTGCTTAACAGTTTTAGGAGCATCCGGAGTTCATATCTGATAGATTTGTATCGCCTTTGTTAAGGATCTTTCGCGCGACATCACCCGACGCGGCCGACTGATAATCCGACTGATTGGACGAAAGGTCCCGAAAGAGGTGCGCAGTCTCCACCTGGTAAGTTTAAATTGGGTTCCTCTAAGTTGGAAACGACTCGTAGTGGCGCACGAACGATAAGGCTATTTTGGACCGCAGCGCTGGACCTCGGAGGTAACCACACTGGAACAATACGTTAGGGGCATTACTTCGCACGTTTGCCATTTTGACTCCTGTGCTACTTATCCAAAAGTTTTCCATGTCTTAAACATGAACTGGTTGTTTCCGCTCCATTGAGGCTTTGGAATCGTGTTCAAATTATTCGCTCCCTCCGAACTAATGAATAAGCTGACATGTCGTGAATGACATATTATGTCCTAGTGAATATAATATAAAGAATAGAATAGCATAGGACGAATGTAGTGGGCGAAATGGAGTGCAGTGAATATTCAGACTTTAGTGCAAATGATCACCCCTTAGTGTGAGAGAATCTGTCGCATGTTTCCTAATAAGGCAGCAACTAACGCTTGTTCGTCACGAAGGTGCGCATGCGCTCTACTCGGCTGCTCGCCGCACCAGCGCACACGAACACCGGCGACCGATATAGGCACATACGCACAACGGGTGCAGCTTGGCTGACTCGGCCCGGTGGGCTGCAGAGGCCGCTCTGACAGTGTTGTTTTCCGTGGGCTTGCGAGGGTCGCCAGTGTGCACGATGTGCGTGTGGTCCGACTCATTCCAGAGCTAGGTGGGGTCGGGTGGTGCGCTCGAAATGGACGCGCTGGCACGCATGGGGGGGGGGGGGGCGGTGGCTTGCAGGTGTCACTCGCCTCCCAAGGCTACCGGCGGGCAAGACTCGCAGGCGTCCCCCGCCTCCTAAGGCTGCCGGCGGGCAAGACTCGCAGGCGTCCCCCCCCCCCCCCCCCCCCGCTTCCCATGCTGCCGGCGGGCAAGACTTGCAGGCGTCTCCCGCCTCCCGAGGCTGCCGGCGGGCAAGACTCGCAGGCATACTCCGCCTCCCAAGGCTGCCAGCAGGCAATGTCACTGCGTGGCAGCGTACATACTTTTATCTGAATCCAAAGTGATGTCAAATGCGAAAAGTAAAGCACAAAATTTAAGGTGGTGATATATGGAGTGGTGAAATATGGGCAAAACCGTAGTTTTGTCCCTGGTAGTACCTCAGCACTGTTTTTGGAGTTATTTTGCTTCGAGGAAAGTGCAGCACTTCCTTTGTATTATGAATCGGGCAAAGTCCAGGATAGACCCGCATTGAATCAACTCACGGAACTCCTTTGGTCATTTTGGCCCACTTAGGCCCTTCACCTGATCAAACAAACCTGCATACGTTTCATTGCGGCATGCTTACGTGTCGCGTCTGCTGTTGGTGTCAAATCATTTACATGTGGCGTCTTCTGCTGCTGTCAAATCACTTCCGTGTTGCGTCTTCTGCTGGTGTCAGACCACTTCGTGTTGCGTTTTCTGCTGGTGTAAACCACTTCAAGCCCGTTTTTACGATATATTTCGAACGGAAGCGTGGTACAGGTGGAAGTTTTTAGCAGCGGGCATGTCAGGCCGGGTGCTAATTTTGTATCAAGATTTGTTAGACTAAACGAAAATGAAGGGCACTTTTCACTCCCTCGGAGTGATAAACAGGTCATCGAGCCTGTGTAGAGGCTATCGCGCGGTCACTCTGTGGCTGAGCCTTCGACTCCGTCCACTCGTCGCAACCTGAGCTCTGCCCCGTCACTCCGACCGCTGGCAAGGCCGTCCTGCCGGACGGATGGGCCTGGTATGCGTTTGCGTGTGTGTGGGGGAGGAGCATGAAAATGGGCATCAAACAAAAGCACACACTTCATATTGTCATATCACTGTTTTTTGGGTTCAGATATGGCCAGCTCCAAATCGTCGCCATGCATGACTTGAACTTTTCGCTTAGCGCATTTCGCACTTCGAAAAAAGAGTTGAAATCAGTTTCAGCGTACAAGCACTTGGACCAAGAGTGGGCTCAGCGTTGAGAGAGGCTAGGACCTGCTGACGCCTTTGCTCTGCTGGCACAGTAGAAATGGAGGTGGTGGTGACGGGACCAGGTCATGCGCTGTTCCCAGACATGGCCAACCTGGAAAGGTGTAGAAAATAAATATCCCAATCATTTTCACACAGCAAGAGTTGAATGCTGCTACCGACACTGTCGTCAATTCTGAGACTTGTTTGTGTGACAACATTGTCCTCATCATATAACTTGACTGACAAACGTTTATGGCATGCAACTTCACTTCTTTGGATTCAACGTCGAATTGCATAGCTAATTCGACATTTATCTAAGCGCTGTAAAAGGGTTATCAACAATCACACACAAAGTCCCACGTGCAACAGCGCACGAGCCGTGTGGATCACAGATCCCTTATGTAAAACTAACGCATAGGCTGAGCAATCTGCATAGCGTTAAGCTGTTTCACCCTATTTCCTGCCGTCCCATCGGCCGGACAGTTTCGTAAGGGCATTTTGTGTAAATGGCGATGATCTCGACGGAAGACCTAGTCGTCTTTTTTAATAATTAAATCATTGTCGGAATAAATGACACTGGTGGGTCACTCAGCAGATAAAGTGTTCGCAGTGGGGAGGATCAGAAATGTCTTTATGCATTTGGTGTGAATTTTGTATGGTGTCATTCCACACCACCCACACAAAAGACTTGTCATGTACAGAGTAATCGTTTAGAGATGAGTCTATGGTATCTATGATGATGGCTTCCACGGCACCATGCCCGCGCACGGGCATCTTGGGCTGCCCTTGGACCATCAATTGTCTTCAAAGGCTCCGGCTCGGCGCTCGGCGTCTCACCAGCCACGCTCAGCTTTGCTCTCTCCAGCCTGGCCTGCAGGCCGGCACCGGTGACTCGCGTTAGCGGCGACCGTTGGCGGACGCGAGGTTTCCTGAAGCAGCTGACCCGCCCGATGGCGCTCAGCACGGGTGACTGGGCAGCAGACGGGCCACCTCGTGTGCCCGCTGGCCGATCAGGCTGTCCACCATGTACTGCGGCTCGAGTCTGTTCCATCGACTGCTCAGCAGCAGCTCACGCAGTGTACCACTGGCTCAGGTCTGTTCCACCGACTGATCAGCAGCAGCTCACGCCGTGTGCCGCCGACTCAGGTCTGTTCCATCTGCTGATCAGCAGCAGCTCACGCCGTGTGCCGCCAGCTCGGGTCTGTTCCACCGACTAATCAGCAGCAGTTCACGTCGCGTACCACCGGCTCAGGTCTGTTCCACCAACTGATCAGCAGCAGCTCACGCCGTGTAGCACCGGCTCGGGTCTGTTCCACCGACTGGTTAGCAGCAGCTCACGCCGTGTGCCACCGGCTCAGGTCTGTTCCACTGACTGATCAGCAGCAGCTCACGCCATGTGGCAGCCGATGGGAGTGGCATTCCTCGCTGAGCCAGCCGACTGGTGATGTCAGCTTTCCTGGAGGCGTTGCGACTTGGCGACCTTGGTAACGGGCGGGACTGCAGCTCTTCTCCACCAGCATGCCTGGTGCGTTGTCCAGCACCAGCGCCGGTGGCTCATCAAGCGACGGCAGAAGCTGAAGCTGGAATGTACTGTACCCCTCCCGCACGTACGTCTCCCACCAAAATGTCTTGCGCCCCTTTCGCACGTGTATCTGCCGCTGGAATGCCCTGCATCCCTTCCGCACGTGTATCTTCCGCTAAAATGCCCTTCACCCCCTTCGCGCGAGTATCTTCCGCTGGAATGCCCTGTATCCCTTCCACACGTGTATCTTCCGCTGGAATGCCCTATGCCGAGACTTGTTATGCGGAGCGGACCCCTGGCGGTTAAAAACTGACACGAGCATAGCAGAGTGTAACGGTCCTTTCGTTGCATGGCCAAATCAGCCGCTATCCATAGGCTGTTTATCTGTCAGCCAGGTTATCACAACTTGAATAATAACCGGACAGTTACTTTATTAGCAATTTTTCGGGAAAATGCACTTACAAATTCAGGCGCATTCGAAGACGAGTATAGGTTTATAGGTATATAGGTTATATAAAAGACGAGCATAGGTTTATAGGCATATAGCTTTTATCATGGTTTTAGACGTGCAGGAGCCGCAACTATGCGACCCAACGTAATTGTGTTTCTGCAGCCCTTCGGACAGCTACGAGTTGCCTGCTTACGTCACGCCGCCAGCTGCTGAGCTTCCACGACCTATGCAGGAATCCAGCTGGCCGGTCAGAGGTCAT